GAGAAGGCGAGGCTGGTGGTGAAGGGGTTCACGCAGGTGGCAGGGGTGGACTATGAGGAGACGTACGCCCCTGTGGGAAGCTATGTGACGGCGCGTGTGCTTCTGGCGATTGCAGCTGCACTTGATTTGGACCTGATGCAGCTCGATGTGAAGAACGCGTTCCTCCATGGCGTGCTGGACCGAGACCTTTACATGGAGCAGCCGAGCTACTACGAGGATGGGACTCCTCGTGTCTGTAAGTTGGTGAAGAGTCTGTATGGGCTCAAGCAGAGCCCGATGCTATGGTATGAGGCCTTGGATGGGGTGCTGCTTGGGGCTGGATGGAAGAAGAGCAAGGTGGATGAGGCTCTGTACTTCAAGACTGATGCTGAGGGGGAGATGTGCTGGCTGCTGGTGTATGTGGATGACCTGCTTGCTGCCAGCCGCAGTCAGAGCATGCTAGCGGAGCTGCTTGACCTGCTGCAGAGTGCCTTTCAGCTGCGGGAGATTAGCCCTGTGGAGAAATATCTGGGGTAGCAGCTGATTCGGGACAGGCCCACGAGGAGGCTGTGGCTGCACCAGGGGGCCTATGTGGACAAGGTCCATAGGCGCTTCTTTGACGGGGAGCAGCCGCTGCGAGTGCCTCGCACCCCTCTTTCCTCTGACCCTTTCAGTGTGCAGACCTTCGAGGATGTGGGATGGCAGTCTCGCCAGGAGGAGGAGTACAGGCAGAAGGTGGGATCCTTGCAGTTCGCGGCCTGTACCACCCGTCCCGACATCTCGTTCGCCTGCAGCAAGCTGGGGTCGGGCCAGACTGTGCGGAGTGATCAGCACTGGAAGGAGTTGGACCGGTGCTTGACGTACTTGGTGGGGAGCAGGGATGTGGCGCTGGAGTTTGGTGGTGGGCCGGAGTCCTTGGAGCTGGTGGGCTACGCCGATGCTGATGATGCAGGGGACAAGCAGAACAGGACCAGCACAGGTGGCTATGTCTTCGTGCTCGGGGGTGCTGCTGTCTCATGGGCGAGTCAGCGGATTCGTCGCGCCACCCTTTCCTCCACTGAGTCTGAGTACGTTGCTACTGTGGAGGCTGGGAAGGAGGCGCGCAGGCTGCGCTTCCTGCTGGCAGAGTTTCAACTGCTGAGGAGTGAGGAGCCCACGACTCTCTTTGTGGACAAATCCTCCGCCATTTCAGTGGCAGGTGGCATGGGGCTCAAGGGGAGCCTCAAGCACATGGAGCGTCGTCACATGTGGCTGCAGCACATGGTCAAGCGCAGGAAGCTGCAGCTGCAGTACATCCCTACGAGCGAGCAGCCTGCTGACTACCTCACAAAGGCATTGCATTTCCCCGCCTTCAGTCGTTGCTTCAAGGCTGTGGGGCAGGTGCGGCTCTCGAGTGAGGGGAGTGAAGACCTAGACACTCCATGATGTGGATGGTGCCATGGCCTATCCATGGCTGGTGCGGTGCGTGTTTACACTTTGAGCGTGTTTCGTTTGTGTGTATCCCTTTGTTTTGGTGTGTATGTGTGTATGCATGCCCTGTGATTATAAAGGGCCTTGCTGTAGTATGGCAGGGGAGTGTTAGAGGGCCCTACGACAGCAAGGGCCCTCGATGACCTTTGACTTGGCAGGTCGGCGCCTAACGACTGAGTCTACTCGGCACCGATGCACGAGTTCGGTGGCGGTCATTAGTGACTACGGGTGACTGTGAGCTACTGCAGCGAACTCGGCGGAATCGGTGCTAGGAATGACGAGTCTTGGGGGTCGTAGGTGCCTTGCTTGTGAGGCACGCTGCTCACTTGCTGTGTTGGCAGGAGTAGCGTGCACGGTGAGACATTCCGGTGCCGAGTTGGGTTGGAAATGTGCGGGGCGCGTTCACCCACCTGCACAGCACTTTCGTGTGGGTTGGGTTACTCGCAGCGCCACGCAACAATTGTGCAACTCTTGCTTGCCTATATATGTTTGTGTTTGCTTGTGTGTTTGATAATTGATATTGCAATTCTACTTGGCCCAAATGCTACTTCAATTCTCACAAAGTCCTTAGAGGCAAACGCTACCAAAACTCTACCAAGTTGCTGGCGCAACATCATTCCCATAGCAGAGACTCTCTCGCTATCGCTACGCTCTCTAATATATTCCTTCACGCCATGGTTGTTGCGCTTGATTGTGCGTAGTACGGAGCGTTGCTTCGCAGTATCGTCTAGTACAAGTCGAGTAGTTTGTGAGACGTTCTTGGTGTGAGTCGACGACAATGTAGGTATTTCAACGCTAGGCTAGCGAGAACATTCCCGTCCACGCGAGGCGGGTTCAAAGGTGCAAGAGAATCAGTCTGCCACGGAAATGTTTACAGTAGCAGCCAGTAGTAGCGGTGGTGACACGGGGTGCTATGATGGTCTGCATTGGACTCAGCTACTGGAGTCTGGACCTGAGGTGCCAAACGGAATGCATGGTGGGAGTGGAGGCGTTGATGTGTCTGTGGGGCCTAGCGCCTGATGCTAAGAGAAGATGGTGTTGGCTTGAGATGTCATAACACCAAATCTCCAAGCTGTGCGGTGCAGCATGGTTGGATTATTCATACAGTAAGGCGATAATTTATCAAGCGGCTATACTCTACGAGGAAACGAGGGGAGGTTTAGCATCTGGTTTTGTGAGCTGGAAAGCGCGTCTAGTGTCCTCAGGTACAGCAGAAACAGGTACATGCCCCTCTGTTACCCCAAGGCCCCCCACTGCCTGTGGTTACGCTGTGTAAAGCTAAAATCTACACACTGCGGATGCACCCCTACAAACTCCATAGATGTTCCAGTTCTGATCTAGCAATCAGTACAGGGTTGAGGTCCATATTGCACTCGCAAATTCGGGGCTGTTCGATCCGCTTGGATACAACCCCATCTCATTTGATCAACGCACTCATGACGTTCCTGTATGGCATACACCCTCTTTCGCGCTACACTGGCAATGAGATTCACAGGCTACAGTGTGTACTGTTGCTTGGAACGTATCGGTCTCGTGCTTACAGCCGAACTGCTTGTGGTGACGGGCAAATGCACTCCCGGTGAACGGTACACAACGGTTTCAGAAAATAACTTGCTTTTGGGTACGGTTGAGTGCGGGCAAACGTGCTTATATCGTATGTGCATGGACCATCCTGGACGCATTGATGTGTGTACATCCAATCAGTTAGTATAGCCAATAACAGTGTAGCGCGAAACAGGGTGTACTAACGATCAGCGGAGGAAACTCGTTGAAGGCTTAATGTCTCGAGCGAGTTCAGGCGGACCGGAAAGTACAGTCGAAAAAACAAAAGTAATTCCAGATGGAATCTATTCTCGACGTGTACAGTAGTTGATCTTGCACCGTCGATTCCTGATACACTTGATTCCCGTTCGAGTCTCCCCTACTTGGGTTGTGCTCTGGACTTATAAATGTTTTGATGACTTCGCCCAGTTCGTTCCATTTCGCCAGGGTGTTGAGGTGCTTCCAAAAAACACAGGTTGTAACTCGTTTGTTTTTACGAAAACAGTGCTGGTGGGCCTGTGTTGTTAGTTCGGGGTTTAGGGTTAATGCTTGTTTCTGGCCAAGAAACAAAAACAAACCGGGTCAGCATGGTTTGTTTTGCGCCCAAGATTCATACTTTGGCGTGTTCTCGCCCAAATGCGGTTGATCCGCGTGCCTGTACCCTGGGTGCAACTGACTGGGAGAAAAAACACGGGTGCAGAGTTTCTGAAATAGAAAAAGCAAATTCGCGCGCAGTGGCTGGGCATCATGTGTATTGGCCACTTCCCACTGTACACGAATTGGGGCCGAAGCAAGATCTTTTCTCCATAACCCCCACAGACAAGCTATCCAAGGATGGAGCTTCCCCAGAACAGTATGCAACCGCTATGATGAGGACGACCCTCGTCGCATTTGCAAGCGGCGCAAGTGTATGAGCTGTCACGGCGAGCCAGTGTCGTTAAAGGCGGGGTGCAACTTCTTAGGAACAGTAGGGGGACAAAAATGGCATGTGAGTAACTTGAATTCTATTGGACGAAAAAACTGGAAAACCAGAAGAGGACAAACTTCTCGGCTCTGAACTGCCTGGGTCAACCTCTTCCAAGCTATAATACTTTGAAGTTGAAGTTGATAGTTGGGCCACGGCTTTAACCGTCGTTTGTCCTTTCGTACCCGCCTTCTCGCCCGCCATTTTGGTCCTAAACTTCAGGCCTAAGCAGGAGTGAGGATTGCATCCTCTCGGTTTCTGCTGGGGAAGAACTTGGTTTGGGATGTGGATCGAACGTTGCAACTGTCGGGCAGGTTCTGCCGACAGGTGGTACAGACAATTCCTCAGCCCACAGCGATAGGCAAATGGTGCGTGGGCGACGTCGCATCTTTCAACAAGCGATCGGGCCGACCGCACCAACCAAGCTGCCAAATGTCGGGCCGACTGCTCCAACCAAGCTGCCAAATGTCGGGCCGACTGCTCCAACCAAGCTGCCAAATGTCGGGCCGACTGCTCCAACCAAGCTGCCAAATGTCGGGCCGACTGCTCCAACCAAGCTGTCAAATGGCGGTGTTCTGCAGTACAGGCATATGCCTGCGGCTTCGGATTGCAAGTCACACCAAATCGTGCCCCCTCGAATTTCAAAGCAAAGGGTTCAACTCATTGATGTGCACTGGAAAAAGTAATGCATATACCGTAAGTATCGTTCTTTATTCAGTTAGGGGGGGTTACATTAGGTGATGTTACGAGTGCCAATTTAGCGAGCAAGCGAGAATTGCACTATTGAAGCAAAATAATTTGAGCGAAGGCATTGTTACATTCCCAAAATGGATTTATCCAGGATCAGCCTCGGGTTGATCGCATAGAGATGGTAGCGGAAGTGGTTGACTCCTAGTCAGGGTGATAGTAAAATTACCTGTAAGCCTTGTTGGCAAGTGCATGAAGGGCAGGAGAGGTAGCTAGAACACGCACACCAACATAATTTACAGAATATACAGCGTATTCGTGTGACGAGGATGGATGTACTTTTATGCACACAACAGAGCTAAAGGCGGGAGGTAGCGCGGCCCGTGGTTCCAACAAGCCTCCGAGTGGGAGGTGTGGTGGTGGAAGGCACGGTGAGCTGGCGGCGGGTGAAGAGGTCTCGCAGCACGCGGCGCATGACCTTGTTGGATGCATTGCGGGGGAGCGATGGCACCACCCACACTGCTGCCACCTGTGGGGATGGAAGGCAGATGGAGAAAGGGTGGTTATGTGATGTATCTGATGGCATGCCCACGGGGTGTGGTACTCGAGCTTGCATGTGGCATGTGCGTGCGTGCGTGCGGGCATGTCTGTGTGTGTGTGTGTGTGTGTGTGTGTGTGTGTGTGTGTGTGTGTGTGTGTGTGTGTGTGTGTGTGTGTGTGTGTGTGTGTGTGTGTGTGTGTGTGTGGTGTGTGTGTGTGCCCGAGCACACGCATGTGCAGAACTATGTTAAGAGGATGTGTGTGAGAGGACGTGTGGCCAGGTGCAGTCGCATCTGGGCATGTATGGGCATGTATGGGCATGTACGGGCATGTACGGGCATGTACGGGCATGTACGGGCATGTCGGGCATGTGCGGGCATGTGCGGGCATGTGCGGGCATGTGCGGGCATGTACGGGCCTGTACGGGCCTGTACGGGCATGTACGGGCATGTATGGGCATGTATGGGCATGTATGGGCATGTCTGGGCATGTATGGGCATGTATGGGCATGTATGGGCATGTATGGGCATGTATCGTATGGGCATGTATGGGCACGTGAAGAGAGGGGAGTCCTGGCAACAGATAAGCGGAGTGCATTGGGTGAGAGCACCTATACAGAGTGAGCATGACACCTTGAAGAGCGGGCTCAGATGGGCCTGGAGAGCAGCAGAAAACACCTTCCTCAGATCATCCTCCGACACCACGCTCCTCTCCGCCCCATCCACCCGTCCACTCCTCTCTCCCTTCTCCCCCACCACTCCCCCTCCTCGCATCACTGCCACCACCACCAGCTCCTCTGGCCCGCCGCCACGTGGTGCGACGCCAATGGCTGCAGTCTCTGACACGGCAGGGTGCGCTGTGTTGCACACCCGCTCCACCTCCACTGACCCTACCTGTCCCGTGGGATGGGATTGGGATGGGGAATGGGATGAGATGGGAAGGGAAGGGATGGGGGACAACCAATTGCGCAAGCAAGGAGTCAATCAGGTTGAGCCGTGTTGCACACCCGCTCCACCTCCACCGACCCTACCTGTCAGTCAGGTGGGATGGGATTGGGATTGCAGTCAGCGTGTGGTGGGATGGGGACCAACGAAGGAAGGTGGCGTGAGGGTCTGCTGGAAAAAGTAGCCCACTTGCTGGACTACAGGGGCGATAGCAGCCATTGGCAGGCGATGGGATGGCGCTGACAGGGAGGATGGGAGTGGGAGGGAGGAAGGTGTGTGGTGGGCATGCTATCCAAGTCAGGCGGCACGCGAGAACAGGAGAAAGCGTGGAGGAGGCGAGAGCACTGGGAGGGTGGACGGCAGGGAAAGGACAGGTCACAGTTGAAAGAATGGCACAGTTGAAAGAATGGCACAGTTGAAAGAACGGCACAGTTGAAAGAACGGCACAGTTGAAAGAACGGCACAGTTGAAAGAACGGCACAGTTGAAAGAACGGCACAGTTGAAAGAACGGCACAGTTGAAAGAATGGCACAGTTGAAAGAATGGCACAGTTGAAAGAACGGCACAGTTGAAAGAACGGCACAGTTGAAAGAACGGCACAGTTGAAAGAACGGCACAGTTGAAAGAACGGCACAGTTGAAAGAACGGCACAGTTGAAAGAACGGCACAGTTGAAAGAACGGCACAGTTGAAAGGGCTCAGTCCGCTCACAGTACGGACTTGAGCCTTGATGCCCACATCGTGTCCCCCACAGCGTCACCTCCCCCCCTTCACAGCCCCAGCGGCCCACCTTGACGCCGCCCAGGTTCATGGTGTCGTCGGTACGCCCGTGTGCGCGCCAGTAGCCCCCCACCCCCCAGCGGCCCACCTTCCCCCCCCCAGGCACACCTTGCCCCCCAGCGCACCATCTTCCCCCCAGCGGCCCACCTTGACGCCCCCGAGATTCATGGTGTCGTCGGTGCGCCCGTGTGCGCGCCAGTAGCCCCCCACCCCCCACTCCACCGCGTCCCCGTGCCGCCGCAGCCGCTGGGGGAAGCAGGGAGGGGCGGGTGGTGGCCATGGGGTGGTGGGGGCATGGGATGGTGTGGGCATGGGGTGATGTGGGGATGGGGTGATGTGGGGATGGGGTGATGTGGGGATGGGGTGATGAGAACATACTGCTGACAGAAAATCCAGTGGCCCACAGAAGCAGTAGTGGAGGCAGGACAAGCACCCGGCCTTGAAACCTGGTTGGGGCGGGGAGGCACCTGGTTGGGGTGGGGAGGCACCTGGTTGGGTGGCTAAAGGCACCTGGTTAAAGCGACCTAGCATACTAATGCTCTTCTTCATGACCAGTCACGCCTGGGGTTGAAAGGCACTTGATTGGTTGGTTGAACGGCATGTGGAAAAGGATCTCGCAGGGGTGGGTAGAAAGGCACCTGGCCGCGAAACTCCGGCATGCCTTCAAAGTAGACCCTGTAGTGATCCGCGTTCAGAAGCTTCCACGAAGCTCCCAGCATGCGAGGCATGAGCGCGCACTCCCCCATCAGCCAATCATCGCCCTCCATTCCACCCGCCCCACTACCACCCCCCTTCCTCCACTCCCCAGGATCCACCACTCTCGCCCCCCCACCACTGCCCCCATCCACTCCCCCACCCCCGTCCCCCTCTGCACCCAGCAGCACCGCTCTGCACCCCATGGCGGGGGTGCTGAAGCAGGAGAGCGCCTGGGGCTGCAGCAAGCTGCCAGTGAGAAAGGCCCCGGCGATCTCAGTGCCCCCACAGTACTCCAGTATGGGTGCTTGGTAGCGCGCGCGTGACATGAGCCAGAGATAGTCGGAGGGGAGAGAGGCCTCTCCCGTAGAGGAGAAGAGGCTGGCACAAAGAACAAGGAACAAGGAACATGGGTCGTGGACAGAAACGGAAAGAAATGTGTGGAACAAGGGTTGGAGCTGAGGTCGTTGAAAGGAGGGTGGCGGCGGACAGGAGTAGTAGCCCCCATGTAGTACTCGAGCTCGGTTGCTCGGTAGCGGGCGCGCGATATGAGCCAGGCTGAGAGGGGGAAGGGTGGGGTAGGCAGGTGGGTGGAAAAATGTGAAATACAGAATGCGGAAGATGGAATACGGAGCATGAAAGATGGAGCATGGATCATGGAGCAAGGCGGATGGGGTGTGGACACAAATGTAAAGAGAGTTGTGGGCCGAGTATTGGAACAAGCGATGGTTGGAGGAGGGGAGAGTGGTGGGCGGGAAGAAGGCGGGGAAAATCTTGAAGTGAGCGGAGAATACGGGGAGTGAGCAGCGCATGAGAGGGCGATGTCCTTGCTAGCTAGTCATCCCTCTGCTGCACCTTCTTCACAATAGGTGCAACCAATCACCGCTCGCCACTGAGCGGGGGACCAAACAAAAATCACTCACCGTATGTGCGACCAATCACAGGCGTCGGTGCAGCCAGAGGCCTTCCAGGAGCGCACGAGGCTGGGCACCACCCCCAACACCGTCACACGTGCATCCTGCTCCGTGACGGACGTGCATGGTAGGGGGAGAGTAGGGGAGTGGGAGCAGGGGGGGCGGAAGAGAAGGGGCGAGGGGGGTGTTGGAAGGTGGGCACCACCCCCAACACCGTCACCCTCGCATCCTGCCCCTCACAGACGTGCATGGTAGGAGAGAAAGGGGTGGGGGGGGATGAATGCAGGGAGAATGATGGAGAAGGGGTGAGAAGGGGGTGTTGGCATTGGGGTTTACGTGGGGTCACTTGCGTTCTACCAATGGAGCTAATAGGGCACAACTCACCCACAGCTCAGGTTCTGCCCTGCGCTCCCTTTGCTGCCCCTGCTCTCTTCTATCGCCCATTCCATGACCCACCCTGTTCAGTCCCCACACCAAGCAAGCACTGCAAGCATCCCAGCCCCAAACGCACGCCCCACCTCCACCTGCAAACCCCACGCCCACCTGCACGAAACGTGCAAATCCGTGGGTGAGAGGCGAGCCGTTGTAGAGAGCTACAGTAGCACCGTTGAGCAGAGCGGCGAAGAGCAGCCAGGGACCCATCATCCACCCCAGACCCGTGGGCCAGCACACCACGTCGCCTGCTGCCCCCCGTTGATGCTGCTGCTGCTTCTGTGAGCTGCCATAATGCGCCCCCTCGCGCCCCTCTGGCCCCTGTGTGCCGCGTCGCACGCCCCTGAGGTCGTGGTGCGCCCACGCGTCTGCAGCCGCCTTGATGGCCGCCAGGGCCGACCACGGGATGGCCTTGGGGGTGCCTGCACGCATGCATGCATGGATGCATGGATGATTGTGAGGGGCAGTGCGGCATAGAGTGGCATGGCGGGGCTTTATGGGAGAATGGTGCAGCAGACGGCGAATGGGTGGCAGACGAGCAAGAGCAGCAAAGCTGTGCGATGGCCGTGATGGCTGCAATGGCTGCTATACGAGCATGAAGCCCGCATGCCAGGCTGAACATAGAGGAGCTTGTCAGGTGTCATGCCATGTGTGTGCAACATAGGGGCGAACATGATGGCCCAACACGTGGAGCTATACCATACCACCTACCCACCACCCAGCCGCACCCTTCACCCTTCACCCTTCACCCTTCACCCATCACAGCAGGCAGCACCCACCAGTGGTGCCGGACGAGAAGAGAATGTTGATGCTGGCGTCCACTGGCATGCTGACACATGGCACGCTGTGAGTGGCGGAGATGGGAGGCACGCAGCAGGGAGGGTGGAGCGCATGCACGTTGAGTCCTCAGGTGGCCAGCGCAGGGAATGAGATGAGAGGTGCTGGACGGCAGCTCTGGGGAACACACAGCGAGTCAAGAGACGACTTTTGAGGCGTCTAAAAATTTGTGGAAAAAAAACACAGCGAGTCCAAGAGACGCATGCAGCCAAGACTTCATCAGTGTGCGTGTGCTCATCCCATCACCGGCCAGCACCGCAGTGCACCTGCTGGTGCCTCTCTCTGTTGAGCGCTGCCCCTCAGCCAGAAAGCTGCTCCACCACACGTCGCCCTCTCTCAACGCGACACGTGGCGCTCCCTCAGTGGCTGGCAGCACAATGGCGGGCGGCGCACCCGCCTCCACCACCCGGCTGGGCGTGACAATGAGGGGCAAGTGGAGGGAGGAGGGACGAGGAGGGGCAACGGGAAAGGAATGAGTGGTGGGGGGCAGACAGCATGGCGGCCAGCGAGGGGGGAGGGGGGAAGGGTGAGGAGCGAGGAGCGGGCGCAGGAAGGTGGGCTGTAGCAGAGCAGTGGCAGAGAGGAGAGGGTTTGCGTGCAGCAGGCACGGCGGTACCTACCTGTAGAGTGGCAGCAGCTTTCCGCCACGCGGAATGAAGTCCTGCGAGGTAAAATACCGAGAAGGACGCACAGGGAGGAAGAGGAGCAGAGAACGGTGTAGTTGGGGGTTTGAGCAGGGAAGGAGAGACGGATGGAAAGTGGTCACGGGGCTTTCCAACCAGCAGCAGCCCCACTCACCCCTGCCGTGCCTGCTGATTCATCCTCCAGACTGCCCACCATCCCCAACCACCCCTCCTGCAGCCAAGCTGCATCCCCCAACCCCACTCAGTCACGCCCACCTGTCATTCCCCTGTGCATCCGTGGCTCCTCTGTCACCCGTGCGGCCATGACCCTCATTCCTCGCCCCACCTGTGTGCACCTCGCCCAACCCACCTGTGTGCACCTCGCCCAACCCACCTGTGTGACGATCGCCTTGGCTTCCGCAATCTTCAAGCGAGCAGCCATTTCGTTGGTGTGCAGAGAAGCTGTCACGAATGGAATGGACACAGCAGGCGCGCCCAGCAGCAGCATGCCCAACCCTGCCTCCCTGCCACCGTCAGCGTCAGCGTCAGTGCCCACACTCCTCGCTCCTCGCTCCACTCACCTGTGTGACAATCGCCGTAGCCCCGGCAATCTTCAAGCGGGCAGCAATCTCGCGAGCAGAGAAGCTGTCAGCGATGGACACCACGGCCGCACCAATCAGCAGCACGCCCAGGTATGCCGCCACTGACTGCACCGTCATCGGCAGCGCCAGTGCTATGGCTTCGCCTGGACGGACGCCGCGTGCTTGTAGGGATTGGGCGACGGCACTGGGTGGGACGGGAAGAGGGCGGTTGAGAGGAAGTATCAGCGCTGGGTACCACCACAGCTGCACTCACCAACAGCAGCACGCCCAGGTACGCCGCCAGTGAGGGCACCGTCATGGGCAGCGCCAGTGATATCGGCTCGCCTGGGCGGATGCCGCGTGCTTGTAGGGACTGGGCGACCGAGCTGGGTGTGATGGGAGAGAGAGTGGTTGAGAGGAGTTGGAAACGGTTGTGTGGGTGGATGCTACACACCTGTTATGAGTGGGCGAGAGGGGTGACGGGGTGAGAGGATAGTGTTGGGAGAAGGGGGGAAATGACTGTCAGGCGCAGGGGGGGAGGGGGGGGGGGGAGGGGGAAGGTGAGGGGGGGATGAAAAAAAAACCGTCCCAGAGAGAGTAGCATCTTCCCAGCTCTCATCCGTCCACTCACATTGCTTGTTGCCTCAGCTCGCCAATGGTCATGTGCCGCACAGGTGCCCCCTCCTCCCACTCATCCCGCCACACCACCGCCACCCTCTCTCCCTCCCGCTCCCCCCTTGCTTCCCCCACACTCTCCCCCCCATTCCCTCTCCCCCTTCTGCCAAAACCGCCCAAGCAACTCTCTGCAATGTTCAGCTCTGCCCCGACCAACCAGCGCCCTCCGGGCAGCTGCAAACGTTCCTTGGGATCCTCGGGCAGGGAGAAGATCTTCTGAGGGGGTTTGCGGAAGATGATGCCCAGGTGGCGGAGAACGATTGGCCAGTACAGCTGGAGCACGGGGGAAAATGTGGGGAAGGAGAGCGGTACAGAGGGGCACAGAGGGGCAGAGAGAGGGGCAGAGAGGGGAGAGTGAGTCAAACAACGCCTTGCCTCGTGTGGTCCACACCAATCCTCGTCCTCATCTCCCCGGGCCTTACATCATTCGCTGGACTCTGTCGTCTCTCACCCTTTAATGGCGTCACCTGTTTCTCACTGACGTCACGCACCCCCTGCTGACGTCACCCACCTCTGGCCGGTCGTACGACAGTCGCTGCAGCTGCAAGAAGTTACCCGGCAGGTCCAGAGGCTCGTGAGGCGCCTTTCCAAGAAGCTTCCTGCCCTTGCTGCTGCCCAGCAGGCGGCCTAAATTGGTTTGCCGCGCCTCCTCCCTGCATGAGCGGTGGGCCGAGGACGGGGGAAACGAGGGAGAAGAGAGGAAGAGGGTGAGAAGCAAGGCAGAAGGCGTTTCAGACGAAGTGCTCGCGCCGGCCACGCGTAAAGCCCTTCAGCGAAAACTGGTGCTATGAGCGGGGGAAGCGGGGGAGGGAGGTGGGGAGGTGTTGAGGGAGGACGGGAGGGGTAACAAGTCAAGTCGACGCTGGGAGACGAGAGGCGATGGGCATCGATGGGCATCCAGGAACTCGATGCTGCACAAGCGCCATCCGCGCCCAGCGAGCCATCGCTTAGTACCACGTCGGCGTCCACACTGGGGGCGGTCCGAGCGCGCGCTCGCGCCACGTGGCGAAGGCCGACGAGTAGAGCAGCTCGTGCACGGGGAACGGCACGTCGGGCCGCAGCAGCGAACACGCCACGTGCTGCCACGTGGCGGGAATTGAGAGGCCGTTTGCTGCGCAGGACTGGACTACGGCGTTGAGGGCACGGAGGAACGGCTCGGAGCGCTGTTGGGAGAGGCCCGCGGCGGTGAGATGCGGGAGCGCGAGCGCGGCGAGCGGAGGAACCGACGAGGGTTGGCTTGGAGGAAGGGGAGTCGAGCCTGAGGACGCCATGGGCGTCGAAATTGGCAGGCGAAGGTGGTGGAGACGAAAGTTATGGTGGGCTTGTATTGTTCGATTCGATTATCCGCTGTGGCGGAATCTGTGGCGACCGAAAGATGGCGGTAACGACGATTGACGATGATGGTCACGAATAGGAAGAACTGGAATTATTCTGCGTGTTGTTGACTCGAATGTCGAGTTATGACGCGGCCTGGGAGTTGGAAGTGAGGAGTAGTGAACTGCGCGGATGGAATGTGCGGAGACCCCAAAACGCAGACTAATTTTTGAGACGGGTTACTCGTTGAAGTTGCGTCGTCGGGGGAAGCTTCAGTGTGAACGAATTTTGGCGAGGATAATTCGCGTGGCCCGGGAGAATTGTGGAAGCAAGTCGGGAGGGGGGGATGGGCGCAGGGACGAGGGGAAGCCATGAAACATTCAAACGACACGAGGGGAACAACCGCTGTGCGGGGTGGGGTGGGCGAGTGGACGGCGAAGCCCGGGGAAGCGGGATGAGGTGATGCGAGGGAAGTGTGACCATTGGCACTCCGACCCGCGTCGTTGCCAGTTCAACTGATGCCACATGTCTGAGCGTGAATGACTGCGCAACAAGTGCTGACGTCTCGCCACGTCCTTCTGACATCCCAATTGCCTCTGATGACAAACATTTTGCTGGTGTTATGAAAGGTACATTTTAAGGAAAATTCATTTTCTTACTACTTGTAAGGAATTTTCTCGATATTCCTTAGCGCACCCTGCAACACCGCGTACAGCAGCAGCCGTTTGTAAGTGGTGCGAGTTGCGTCGGCACGTGGTCGACAACTGCGCGCGATAAAATCGGAACAGCTTTTGCGGCAAGTGGCGTTGTGGCGTCTTCGTTACGTTGTGCACAAGCAGTTGGACGTCTTCGGCAAGTGACATGCGGCGTCACTGTGCGCGAAGATTTCGGGTAGCAGCACGTGGAAAACGACTGCTGGTCGAGCAGCCAGGCGCAATGTGTGATTTGCGTACCGACGGCGAGGAGAGGCGGCGTGGCGACTGCCCGAAGAAAGCGGGGGTCTATTGTCGTCCCGCCCGGGTGCGGCAGGTGTTGATGCAGGAGGGTGCGTCGTGGGCGTTTTTCGGCAGAGCGGCACAGTGTGGGACGGAAGTTATTCTTCAAACCACCGAAAAGTTTGGAAAAGGCTATCAAACATTTATGCTATAGTGTTTCTAGGCTGTAGTGGGGTAGACAGTATGAGGTACAGTTTTCTAGGGTTACATATTTGTACCCAACTCATTTCCTAGTCCATCATTCCTCATTCTCTTCACATGGTATAGAGCAGGTTCCCTAGTGGGAATGTTTCCTAGGGCCCACCACGAAATCGATTTTTTTTTTTTACCTGCCCGGAGCGCGCTTCGCCCCTGCCCTAGTCGCGCCCCGTGTGCCTGCCCTCCCGTCGCGTCCCCTGCCCTTAGCGGCCCGTCGCGCCCTCTTAAGGCCCCGTCGCGGCCCCTCTCACGGCCCTTCGCGGCCCCTTCGCGGCTCCCTCGCGGCCCCTCCGCGGCCCTTCGCGCCCCCTCTCACGGCCCTTCGCGACCCCTCACGGCCCCTCGCGGCCCCTTCGCCGCTCTTCGCGGCCCCTCGTGGCCCCTTCGTGGCCCCTCGCGGCCCCTTCTCGGCCCCGTCGCCGCCCTTCGCGGCCCCTCGCGGCCCTTCTCGGCCCCGTCGCCGCCCTTCACGGCCCCTTCACGGCCCTTCGCGGCCCCTTCTCGGCCCCTTCACCGCCCTTAGCGGCCCCTTTGCGGCTCCTCCACGGCCCTTCGCGGCCCTTCGCGGCTCCTTCACGGCCCCTCCGCGGCTCCTTCGCGGCCCCTTCACGGCCCCTCCCCGGCTCTTCCCGGCCCTGCCGCCCCGCCGTCGCCGCCCCAACAGCAGCTGCCGTCGCGCTGTGACAGCCGCCGCCGTCGCTGCCGGGGCCGCAGCCGCCGCCGCCGCCGACGGCAGCAGCCGCCACCGCCGCTGCCGTGACAGCCGCAGCCGCCGTTGCCGGGGCCGCAGCCGCCGCCGCCGACAGCAGCAGCTGCCGCCGCCGCCGACAGCAGCAGCCGCCGCCGCCGCTGCCGTGACAGCCGCTGCAGCCGTCCCGGCCCTGCCCTGCAGCAGAGGCGCGGCTCTCCTCTGCCGCCCTGTCGCGGCCCTGTCCCTGCCGGCGCGCCTCGGCCCTGCCCCACCACTTGCGGACCTCTACCCACCCGCCCTGGTAAGAGCACCGCCGAGGCGCACCTCTGCTACTGAGCTGCTCCTAGCCTGCCACTGCTGTTGCTAGCCTACTGCTGCTGCTGTCATGGCTACCCCCAGTGTTCTCACCTTTGATGCTGAGGGTCGGGCTGTCGACTTTGAGGTTTGGGTCGATGATCTGCAGCTTTTCCTACAGTGCGATAGGAAAGACGGTCTCTCACTGTTCGATCTCACGTCTGGCGCCTCTGCTGCCCCTGGTGCCGATGCTGACAGCACTGTTTGCTCACAGTGGGCCACACGCGATGCTGCTGCCCGTCTTGCTGTGCGTAGTCACTTGCCGTCCACTGAGCGCGCGCACTTTAGTCAGTACAAGATTGCTAAGACCTTGTACGACGCTGTAGTTGCACGCTACTCTTCCCCTGCCACTGTTGCCCTTAGTCGCCTCATGCTGCCGTACCTGTTCCCTGACCTCGCCGCCTTTCCCACAATCGCTGACCTCATTACGCACCTTCGCACTAGTGACACCCGCTACCGCGCTGCGCTTCCTGCTGAGTTCTGCGCCAAGAACCCCCCCCCCCCCATGTACATCACCCTCTACTACCTAGTCACCCGGCTCCCTGACTCCCTTCGCTCGGTCAGGGACCACTTCCTCTCTGTTTGCCCCACCACACTCACCGTTGACCTCCTCGAGGAGCGCCTCTTGGCAGCTGAGAAGAGTATAGTCGCTGTAGGAGCCTCTCGTGGTGACCCTCGTGCCCCCTTCTTTGAGGGGTGCTCCCCCTCCCCCCTTTTGCCCTCTGTTGCCTCTGCTGCTGCAGTCGACCTCGTTGGCACCGAGTCGGTCGGCGCTGTGTCTGCCCCTAGCGGGAGACGCCGCAACGGCAAGGCCAAGGGGAGCAAGGGCGCTGGAGGGGCTGGCGGGGGCGGTGGAGGTGGCGGTGGAGGCGGCGGAGGGGGTGGGGGTGGCGGTGGGAGTGGTGGCGGGGGTGGGGGCTTCGGTGGCGGCGGTGGAGGCGGAGACGGCGGCGGTGGTGGCGGTGGGAGCGGAGGAGGCGGCGGTGGCGGCGGCGGCGGTGGAGCTGGTCGGGGTGGCACTGTGCAGCGGGGCAGCTTCGGTGGTGGTCAGCGCCAGCAGCAGCAGCGCACTCGTGAGACCCCGCCCCCCCAGCAGCTTCGTGAGTGGTACGCTGCGCGTCAGCGGGGTGCGGGTGCTGGTCTCTGTGCCTACGTCTTGCGTACCGGCGACCGCACTGGTGAGCCGTGCGGTGGCCCGCACACCACCCAGCGCTGCTTCGACCGCCTGACGGACGCCAGGCGTCTCCAGTTCCCTGACGCCACTGAGATCCCTCGCTGGGGCGAGCTGCTTAGGTCGGGGGTTGCTATCTTTGATCTTGATTATGATGCTATTCTTGCTGCCATGTATGTTGTGTCTACTAGTGATGAGGGTGACTATTACCTCTGTGTTCCGCCTCACCCGGGCATTGAGGCTGCTGCTCTAGGTGTTGGTGAGGCTGCTGCTCTAGGTGCTAGTGCGTCTGCTGCTCCACGTGCTGGTGAGTCTGCTCCCCCAGGTGCTGGTGAGTCTGCTCTCTCAGGTACCACGTCGGCTCAGGCCTTGCACACCTTCACCCTTGACTCGGGTGCTTCTCGCTCCTTCTTTCGAGACCGCACCACACTCACGCCGCTTCGTCGGCCGGTTGCAGTCTCCCTGGCAGACCCCTCTGGGGGTCCTGTCCTTGCTCACTTCTCCACTGTCTTACCGTGTCCGGCGGCCCCCTCTGGCACCCTGTCAGGTCTTTACCTCCCCTCGTTCTCTACGAACTTGGTGAGTGGTGCTGATCTACAGGATGGGGGGGTTGACCAGTTCACTCCTGCGAGTCAGCGAGTGACCCACTGCACGTGTTCTCGGACGGGCCGACACTTGGCCACGTTTACCCGTCAGCCGGGGTCGAGCCTGTACACACTGACTACTGAGTCTCCTCCGGCTGCTGCGTCTGGTCAGGTAGCTGCGTCGGGTCAGGTGTTTGCTGCAGCGTCCAGGTCTGGTCCTGAGTCTGCTCCCTGCTCGTGTCGTCTCCTGTCTCACCAGACTCTCCTCTGGCACCACCGCCTTGGTCACCCCTCCCTGCCTCGTCTCCGAGGCATGGCCTCCCGTGTCCTTGTTTCTGGTCTCCCCCGGTCCCTCCCTCCTCTTCCACCGGGGCCTGCCCCTACCTGCGTTCCCTGCGTCGAGGGGCGGCAGCGCGCCGCTCCTCACTCCTCCGAGTTTCCTCCGACAGAGGCTCCACTGCAGACACTTCACCTGGACGTGTGGGGCCCCGCCCGCGTCTGTGGACAGGGTCACGAGCGTTACTTCTTGCTGGTCGTTGACGACTACTTGCGTTACACCACAGTCTTCCCCTTGCGCAGCAAGGGTGAGGTCACTGAGGTGTTGATCGACTGGATCCGCGCAGCTCGTATCCAGCTCAGAGAGAGTTTCGGCTCGGACTTTCCTGTTCTGCGTCTGCACTCTGACAGAGGCGGAGAGTTTTCCTCTGACCTTCTGCGAGCCTTCTGTTGTGCACGGGGCATCCGCCAGACGTTCACGCTTCCGGCCTCCCCAGAGCAAAATGGGATTGCTGAGCGCCGCATTGGCATGTGTGAAAATGAACGAGGAATGAAAAGACTAAGGGAAAGTTGGGTACAAGTACAAACCCTAGAAAGCTGTACCCCATATGTGCTACCCCACTATAGCCTACAGCAGCTAAGTCATATAAATCTGACACACCCCCATAGGCAAAGTGGGGGAGGACAA